CCAAAGGTTGTTACATATATTATTAAACAGATCATCTGATCATGTAGGTGGCATAAATAAATGTTATTTGCTGTGTTGGTGTAATGTACTCAGGTGAATAAGATGCTGGTGTGATGTTACTCTGAGTGTATATCCTCACCAGGCAGGCTTGAAAAATATACCTGGCCACGGTGGGATTCGAACCTACGACCTTTGGAGTACTAGCCCAATGCTCTTCCAACTGAGCTACGTGGTCAGGTCAGTTCGAGTATGCTATATTTCGGAACTGAGTCTAGTTCCTTCGATATCAGTGTAATCTTTTATAATCATTTGCTGTGTTGGTGTAATGTACTCAGGTGAATAAGATGCTTACAAGTGTGATGTTACTCTGATTGTATATATATATATATATATACACCACCTGACCACGGTGGAAAATATGCCTGCCCAGTGTGGATATACACTCGGAGTAACACCATAACATCACACAAGCATGTAAAACTAAATGAATTCATATAAAGTTTGAAATTGCCACACAACCCATCAAATTGACAACTTTTATCTAAACTGACCCACCTATATACAAATAAATATTAATAGAAACTTATGAAAGTACCAGTTAATTGGAAACAAATCGATAAATTCTCTCAAACCATGTTTACCTAGGACATACCTAGGTAGGCATATGAGAATTGAGTAGATCAAGTACTGTAGATGGAACTTACAAGGAACACTTGATCTGGCAATCCGTCATATACACAACTAGTCTATTTGGCATTACAACAAACATAATTTGATATAAAGGCTGAGTCAAATGTAAGCCTTTGTATAAAGACTAAAGTATTTATATTGTCGCAGCGAATTCAAATCAAAGTGACTATCTGACCGGCAGCCGGTCACGGTTTATCAAATACTAAATGGCCGGCAGTCTAGTGACTATAGTTGAATATAAAAACTTTTGTTTGCAATAAATTTTATCGAGCTTGCCGTTAGCTCATACGGCAAGGGCGCTGCGTGCGGAAAGTTAAACGCAGTTGGGGTCGGGATGTGTTTTGTCTGACTTAGCATTGTTTTTTCTTAAAATTTTTTAAACTTTTTTTCCCGACTTTTCTAACTCTCAAAAGGTTACGGTTAGGGGTTAGGGTTAGAAAAGGGGTTGGGGGATAGGTTTATCTTATAAAAACTCAACTTTAACAATAGTCACTAGACTGCCGGCCATTTAGTATTTGATAAATTACCGTGACCGGCTGCCGGTCATATAGCCTGCTCACAGACGTTGTAGTTCTTACGCCAAGCGACGAAATACTACCGTCTGCTTACCCGAGCGCCAAACTGAATTCCGCTACGTCGACCAATCAGAATTTACCTTCCAAATTCTGGAAAGTGACGTCAGTTGATTTAGGAGCGGAATAAATATAAATATATATTTTGAAAGCAGTCGTCGGTTGAATTTTGGTCAAAATTGCACATAAATTGAATTTAAAGATACTGATACTTGTCCAGGTAATAAAATGCACCATTAATGATCAGATTTGGATATTAAAGATGTTCGGTTTAATATATTTAAAACGCGGACAGGATTGGCATATTTATACTGTATGAATCTTAGCCAGACGGCATCAAATGCCGAATATATTTAGCTGAAATTTGAACGGTTTATCTTTATAAGACAACAGAACTCGGAAGACAGAAAATTTTATATAATACTGTGGCTTAGAAAGCGAAATATTAGCTTCAAAGTAAACTAATTTGCTGTCTGAGCAACCACTTCTGAATGTAAACTGTAAACACAACACAAACCCGAGAAACTTGTATTAAAATTGCGCAGTGATGAATTTTCCAATTCGCCCAAACTTCGAAACGTTTAATATACTCTCACTTGGCTATACTTTTCTACATGACAATGAGAGCTTAATCTTTTAGAAGTTTTCGTCGAAGTCATGGCATATAGGAAGTATCAAGAGCAACATTTGGACATATCCTGGTTCCCGATTGATTGTTTGTCATTGCTATAAACAAAAATTTAAATTTCGCCTACTGCATTGCTTTAGCACTTTATATACACCGATTGTTTGTTGAACATGCGAGATGATAACAATATTATTCTACGTAAACATCGTGAAGTTCAACGCTATAGTTTCCAAAATATATCCACGCAAGTAAACAAATTTCAAGTTTCAACCCAAACAATATATTCCAATGCATGTGCATTGTGCAAGGGCTTTTCCCAGTAGCTGATCTCTCAATATATAAGGCGGCTTCCAATTGGCTCTAATGTTTTTGAACACTGCCAGATGATTGGCTCGGCTGAAACAAAGGGAATTGAATATGCAGCTCGGGTAAGCAGACGGTAGTATTTCGTCGCTTGGCGTAAGAACTACAACGTCTGTGAGCAGGCTACCGGTCATATAGTCACTTCGAATTCAAATTTTAAGACTGAACACATGCTCAAAATTCACGAATGAAGATAGTCAATATTTCCTTTCAAAATTGCTCTGTTATATAGAAAACAAAACAATATTCTTACCTGGAAGTTACTCAGTCATCCCTGATGTTCCATCTTCGCTAAAATATACCATCTTCCAGTAAAATACTATAAATCTTTCGATCGAGCAGATGAAAATTCACTGCAGTGCATTTCAAAAATATGGCGGTGTGATCGAATGATGCTATCCCAGGAAGCTTTGCGCGTGGCGTAGGAAAACTAGGCACCAGTCTGTCAACCATCAAAAAGCACTCATCATGAAAATTTTCCTTTTCAAAATGGTCTTTTGTATAACAAAAATACCTACCTCCACAAGCTATAATATAGTTCCAATGAAGTCATGAAGAATTTAAGATTAACTCAATCCCTCAATCAAAACATTGGTATCGAAATTGAGGAGACCGGACTCAGGCCTGGAACACCTGGGGGCCCAACTTGCGGGCAGGGGGCCCTGGCATGCTGGAATTGCGAAATTTGTAAAATTAAGGATTTGTTCGGTGAATTATGGAATTTTCTGGAAAATTTAGGTCGAAAATTAGTGTTGCGAAAAATTTTGGGGACTTTTGTTTTCGGAAACATAACGTCGCCCCCCCCCCCCACTCGCGACCGTTTTCCGGAAAAGAAAATGTTTTCGAGGGGGTCCTGCTTGGGTAGGGAGGCCCAAATTTTTTAATACGTCCCCCCCCCCTCAATCGTATACCGGTTGGCACGGCCCTGTCAGTTTATACTATAATAATTAGTCAGTATAGTCTTTTAAATATAAAATGCTTGAAGAATTAAGTTCAAGAAACTTGAAGAAGGAATATCTTCAAAGAACTGCCAACATTTCACATGTTGTCTTTTATTCTCCTGTAACATAATGGTTGTAACTGTAGTTTCAAATCGAGTTGCAAATCTAGGGTTAAAAAAAGGTCAAATCTACTCTTTTGAATTTTAATACAGTGTAGGCCAGTTCCAAGTACAATTCACTATGACATGAATTACGTGTATGAAATTACTTTAATTGTCATATGTGAAATGTATAATTTCATAATATGTGAAATATATGACTTGATTTTCATGTATGAAAATTCACATATGAAATTACCAATATTAACATACGAAATGGATTTCATATATGAAATTTCTTTTTTCATATGTAAATTGTATATAACTTCATATATGACCTGATTTTCATATATGAAAATTCTTATATGAAATTAGCTACCAAATTTCACATGTGAAATTTAGTTTTCCATATGTGAAAAAATTTAGTTTTCCATATGTGAAAATTCTTATATGAAATTACCAACTTTCACATGGGAAATTGATTTCATATATGAAATTTCTTTTTTGATATGTGAATTATATAACTTCATATATGACTTGATTTTCATAATCTGAAGATTCTTATATGAAATTACCAAATTTCACATGTGAAATGGATTTCATATATAAAATTTATTTTTTCATATGTGAATTGTATAACTTCATATATATTACTTAATTTTCGTATATGAAAATTCTTATATGAAATTACCAAATTTCAGTGTGAAATGGATTTCATATATATGAAATTTAGTTTTTCATATGTGAATTGTATAACTTCATACATGACTTGATTTTCGATATATGAAAATTCTTATATGAAATTACCAAATTTCAGTTTGAAATGGATTTCATATATGAAATTTAGTTTTTCACATGTGAATTGTATAACTTCATATATGACTTGATTTTCATATATGAAAATTCTTATATGAAATTACCAAATTTCACATGTGAAATGGATTTCATATATGAAATGTAGTTTTTCATATATGAAATTAAAATTTCATATATGACCTGCTTTTCATATATGGAAATTTAATATGTGAAAAAGAGAATTTCACATATGAAACTGAAATTTCATATATGAAATTACCTTTTCACATGTAAAATTCTAACTTCATATATGAAAATCTTCATTTCATATATGAAATTCCAATTTCATATATGAATTTTAATGTGAAATTTTTGTAAGGGTAAACTCGACTTCTTTCTGGACAAAGCGAAAATCTGAAACCATAGTTAGTAGAAAATAAACATGGTTTGTAAGCTTGACAAAAGTCATTGTTCTATGTTTTTGTCCAAGTTTATGGAAATTAATTTTCGCACTCGGATTCTGTATAATGAGGCGATTACCCAATAAAAACCTTAGTTTCAATCGCTGAACCGTGATATTTGAATATTAATAAACGCCAAGACAAAAGATGTGTACACTCGGAATTACATTTCAACATCAGTTGATGTTTGAATAGGAAATTCTTTGAAGTTTACCAGCCTTCCTAACCACGTTTATTTCTATTAAATATGCTGAAACATTGCAAGTTATTCATCATCGTAACTTGCATATTCTTGTTTCTTCCAGCTCAAATAATTGCATGGTCTCCTTCTCGGAAAAATATGCTCGAAACTTGTAAAATTCTTGACCAGATGATATGTGAAACCAGTTAATAATATAATATTTATTATATGGCACCGCGGTCCATACTATGAGGTTAATCCCATTTCTTACCTAGGTACTGGCAGTCATCACCAATTTTATTATTAGGACAAAAACATTGGTATCTTTTAGAATCTTGTTCGTCTTTCATACATCTTGTCCTTGGTGCTTTGCAGGTATTAGAATTACATGGACCTTAATCAAACAACATTTGCGTAATCACATAAATAATCAATAATCGAAGAGGAGAGTTATTTATTCGTTCGATTTGTGTATATTAGTTTAATTGTGTAAAATTACAATGACTTTATAGCTATATAAGGAAGATCTTCTGCCAGGATGTACAGTACTACAGTAACTGGAGTAGATCATCCAAGAATGATCGTTTTGATGGCAGTTTTGATAAAAGGGAATCGTATTAAGGGGGTACGCATTAAGCTAAAAAGTAATGTTAACTTGATGTCTGTGTCCATGCCGGTATAGACGATCCACAAGATAGAGAATGGAAGCGCGGACTATGATGTCGCGATTTCCATGATATGTTTTTTATCACAGCAACAGACTGAGTTAACAGTCATCACGGCAACTGGCACTCATCAGAATAAAAACGGATGCGAGTCCCGAATTATTTTTGCACAAAACTTTTCTGCTCAAAATACAGGATTTTACGCGATCATAATTCATAAGTGGTGAATAATTATGCTTTAATATTTTCATCTTTGATTGTAATTAGTAATCTTATTTTACAATTCTAATATACATTATAGACCAGGCAGATATAGTCAATCGTACATGGTCGTTTTGCTTCTGAAATTCAAAACTATTTCTCAAATCTCGTATTGCATTTTTACCAGTTATTTATGCCAATTCATTTACTGGTCGCTGGACGATATACCCAGGGTGAAAAGTAATAACAATAATATTCTACAATAGTAATTACTTTAATTTACCTATGATGCAAGTGTGTCCATCAGCTGCAAGAATATATCCAGTGATACATTGACATTCGTAAGATCCATCTGTGTTTATGCACTTGGCATTACTTTCCTTGCATATTTCATTACACTCATCAATGTCTGCAGAAAATCATCAAAATATATAAGCTGAAAATAAGTTCTTTGTACGTTTGCTTGGCGATAAAACATATAATAGTTTTGTTTGTGGAAACACCACGTAAATTTTTTACTACAGTAATAAATGGACGTGGTGTTTCCACAAACAAAACTAATTATAGGCTGAAAATAGTTTTTGATTTGACACAATATATATTAGCAACCACAGAAACAAAAAATAAAATTGAGGCTAAGCGAAAATGATAACCTCCTGTTCGCTGTTCCTAACAAACACGAAATTATAAGTATACTTAGCAAGATTCTTTCTATTCCTTGGATGCTGTTGATAGCTGACTGACAATATCTTCACTGTGAAGGAATAACTGTGTCCATAAGACCTAGCTTTTCGGACTTGGACCATTTTCAATACTCTTTGGAAACACAGTATTTTTTGTTATCCGGATATACACGTCTTTAACTATATTAACTTTTATTAGACTCACATTGTTACAATACATACAATGATAAGTATAGGTAATCATGCGATGCCGAGTACAATTAGGGATTAATAGTACGAGTGATGTTTGCAAATTTTGCCAAAATTGGACGAGCCGCCGGGGCGTGTCCAGTTCGGAAAATTTCCAAAGATGACGAGTACTATTAATCCCTAATTGTACGAGCAACATCGCACGATTTCTTGTTTATTATTAGCATGACAAAATTGGATACTTCTCAATGTCAACATCACATTCTTGCCAAAGCCCAGTCCTTGTAATATAGTACTCCTTCGATGCATAAACACATGTCTAGCTTCTATCTTACAAGTGCGCATGCTCCTAAAGCATGATGTAACTATTACGTCATTACATCCCTTTAAACCTTTAGTTTTTGCATTCACTATAACTGTTTATGATTAACTAATATCAACCTGAAAGTTCCTATAATGTCTTATTTTAAAGTTCATTTCTGATGACTTCTTAACAATTAAAGTTCATTATAAATGTTTTACTTATCTGACTGTTTATAGCGAGAGTAGGCTGGTGGTTTTGTTTTCCTTTTCGGGCGTTCATTGGTGTTCTGCTTGCTCGGATGTTCTTCTTTATCTGCTAGGTTATCTGTTTCACCTTTCTTTTATTTAAACTTTTTAAAATGTGACGAGTTCTGAGTGACTTGGCGATTGTCATTTGACGCTGTAATCATTGATCCTTTCTTCTTAACAATTTGGTATTTCTGATGTTCATAAGGGGTCTGCAATTTACCTTTCTTTGAGTTTCTCAGCAGGACTGCATCACCGACTTTGAATTCAGAGGATTTGGCTTTGTTTCGTTTGTCAAAGTGGACCTTGTTCTTTTGTCTTGACTTACATGATGCATCAAGTGCTTGTTGATGGTTTGGGTCAGCTGGTGCTACAGTTTGTGACTGGGGTAACTTGACATTTATGGCACGATTGAATAGCAAGGTTGCAGGAGCCTGGTGGGTTACACTATGGGGCGTAGCTCGGTAGTTTCTGAGGAAGGTAAACAAGTTTTGTTTCCAAGACCTGCCTTCAACTTTGGCAGTTCTAGCTGTTTTCTTTAATGTTCTCATAAATCGTTCGGCTTCTCCGTTTGCCTGAGGCCAATAGGGCGTTATACGCTGATGTTGGAAACCAAGATAATTAGCAAACTGTTTGAATTCTGTACTATTAAATGGGGCGCCATTGTCCGATTTAACTGTTCTGGGAATTTCGTGAGTAGCAAAGATTTTGTCAAGACAGGGAATAACAGTTGTATGGGCTACTGTTCTAATAATATCTACTTCGGGGTATCGTGAGTAGTCATCAATCAGTACAAGTAAGTACTCACCACTGGGAAACGGGCCGCAAAAATCAATTGATACACTTTCCCATGGATTCTTGCTAGCTTCAGGCATACGTAATGGTTCAATGTTGCTTGTGTTTGTTGTGACTTGGCAAGCTAAGCAACAGCTAACCTTTTCTTCCACTTGTTTATCAATGGTCGGAAACCAGACCTTCTCACATAAGAGTTTTTTTTTCCGTGATATGCCTTGATGGCCTTCGTGTGCGAGGTCTATCACATGGATTTGAAGTTTACTTGGTATGACTATACGGGTACCACGTAGGAGGAGACTTTGATCACTGTTAACTGACAGTTCGTTTTGGATGTGAAAAAAACATTCTACCGACTTACGATCAACAAGAGGTTGGAGTTTCGCATTATGCCACTGTTTGGTTTGAATTGCTTGAATGACAGCTTGAAGTGTGGTATCGGCTTTTGTGGCTTCTTTGATTTCTTCCAGCGTAAGGGCCTTGGGAACAGCATGCATTGAAACGAAATTAACATATTCTTCAGCGCATCTCTCCTCATGGCTGGTAGGTGATGATGGCAACGGATGGCGGGACATAAAGTCGGCTGGATTGTCAGAACCGGGTTGATACTGAACATTGAAACGATATGGTTGTACCTTTAATAACCATCGATCAATACGAGCAGGTGGTTTGCTTTGTGGATCGTTGAAAAGACGTTCCAGTGGCTTGTGATCAGTAATAACAGAGAATTGGGTACCATATAAATATAGATGAAATTTATGACATGACCAGACAATAGCCAGAGCTTCTCGTTCAATTTGTGAATAGCGAGTCTCTACAGGAGTTAATACCCGACTGGCATAACTGACAATACGTGGCGAAGCACTGTAATCTCTAGTGGTAGGATATTGGACAAGTATAGCACCAAGACCAACTGGACTTGCATCTACAAGAACTTCAATTTTGTGCGAGGGATTATAATAAGCCATTGTTGTTTCATTGGTTAACACGGATTTGATACTGTCCATAGCATGTTGTTCAGTACTGGTCTATTTCCACTTGACATGCTGTTTTGTCAGGTCTCGTAATGGTTTAGCTAGTGTCGCAAGGTTTGGGATGAATCGGGCACAAAAGTTGACCATACCTAGAAAACTTTTGACTTCGTTTGGATTGGGTGGAGGTTGGGAGTTGCGTATAGCTTCCACTTTGCGAGGGTCAGGTGAAATGCCCTGCGATGAGAATACATATCCAAAATATTCAACGCTGGTTTTGTTGAATTCACACTTCAGTTTATTTAATGTTAGGTTACGAGACTGAAGACGTTCCAATACAGATTTAAGGTTGTTGTCATGTTCTTTTTGGTTGGATCCATAGACTAAGATGTCATCACTGATGTTAATACAGCCGTTGAGACCTTCAAGTGTTTCTCGAATAGTATTTTGGAAAATTTCAGCTGCAGAGGTTACTCCGAAATTAAGGCGCTTATATCTCCTCAGGCCGACATGGGTGCTAAACGTGGTATCATAGCGTGATTCTTCTGAGAGTTCAAGTTGGTGATAACCTTGATTGAGGTCAAGCTTTGAAAATACTTTAGCGTCATTTAGATCTGCTATGACGTCATCTATGGTGGGGGTTATGTGACGTTCTCGCTGGATTGCCTTGTTGACAGCCCGCATATCCACACAAATTCTAACATCGTTTGGACTTTTGGGTTTTGGCACAACAACGATTGGGGAAACCCAGGGCGTTGGACTTCTGTTTTCTCGATGATGTCATCCTTTTCCATTTCTTCAAGCTTTTTCTCCACCTGTTTCCGTAGATGGAATGGTATCCGCCGATGGGTTTGAGCAACTGGTGGAATTGATTCGTCAATATGTAGCTTCACCTGATGATCTTTTAATTTTCCAACGCCATTGAATAATTCCTCAGATATTGCAACATTGCAGGATACAGTTGTGTTCTTAGCAGTGTCCACAGCGTTAGTAATTGCAATCAAACCAAGATGCTTTGCAGTATTGTAGGATAACAAAGAACCTCCAAGGCGACCGTTGTTGCTAACGACAAAAAACTCGGCAGCATCAATTCGTTTCCGCGATTCTACAGTAGCAGTAAACTTTCCAAGGACACGGAGGGGTTTATCGGACTTGTAGGGGTAGATGTTGATAGAACTGTGTTGCAATTTTATTTCCAGTTTGAGGGCTTCAAAATCCTTTTCTTCGCGTAAATTAACTGTCGCTCCAGTGTCAATAATGAATTTAACTTTGGCTAGGTTTTGAATCCGTAAGTTAACCATTGGATGTTTGGTATTTTCGTCTGTATCTTGCACCATAAACGTATATTCATCCGACTCGGAGTGTTCACTGGTAATGTCACTTGCGATTTCTTCGTTTACATATTTAACCGTCTGACGTTTGTCACTTTCATGGTGGCGATGTTGTTGTTTTTGTGGAGATGAACGGCATGCGACGGCAAAGTGATTCAATTTCCCGCAAAGTCGACACGTTTTCCCTTTTGCTGGACATACGCCAGGATGAGGATATGGTTTGCTGCAAAAATAACATAGTTTCGTTGATTCTTGTCTTTGTCCTTGACGTTGTGAGTTGAAGTTCTTCGAAAAGTAATTTCGTGTTGGAGCAGTTTTCATCTGGTTGACTGATTCTGTGTTGTTATTTTCCATTTCCTGAGCTTGTTGGTGTGATAGTTCGTAGGCTCGGCCTTGATCTAAAAGTTGTTGGAGAGTCATTTCAGTACGAAGGGCTTTTCGTCGAAGCTGTTGGGACGTGCACGTTTGGACAATTTGTGTTTTAATTTCGCGATCCATGTCTGCAAATTCACACGTGGAAGCAAGGTGTCGAAGGCGAGTGTGGTAAGAATCGAGCTTTTTGTCATGGCGTTGACTAGCTTGGCGAAATTTGTAGATTTCATACTCCGTATTCTTTTTAGGCTCGAAATAAGTTGTAAGTGATTTCACAGCTGTGTCAAAATCATCCTCAGAACCTTTCTGTTCGGCGGTAAATGTGTCAAAGATATCGTAAACTTGTGATCCAGCCAAGTGTATAAGTAAAGCACGTTTCCGTTTCTTTGCCTATATATCCATAGCGACCATAAGATTGTTAAAACGTTGCAACCATTTTTTCCAGCGAGTGGCAATAGAAGAACTCGAAGTGTCGTTCCCGTAAACTATAAATGGTTCGAAATCGGGTATGGCTTTTGCCAT